TTAGCGACAGTACATTAGTTTACACAATTTACATTTCTTTTGTTCTATTGACAACCTTTTTAGTTTCTAAAATACTATTACTAATACGTACTCTTATGAAGTGTATAATACATGTATGTGTAGTTTGTTTATCTTTGTATCAGTATATACATACTTTTCTTTTTACAATAAGTTCTGAGCTTATTATCATTATCATGATTTCTTGAAACATTTTCTCAATGGAGTGTTTGTCTCCAATAAATCAAAAATATATATTAAAAAATGCTTTCAATTCTTTAATAGAATGCATTTTTTTTCTCGAAAATGTGCCTTTTTCTGCCAAACATGATCGACACCGATTTTGTTAAGTAAAAATTTCAGTTTATGACAAATACTGTTGCTATTACTAAAACAAAGCCAGTAATGATTGAAGATTTAGCAGCATCTAAAGCAAGCGGAAACAAACCAAGTTCACCGATTTATGCACTCCAAGGGTGTCCTTTCCAAACTTTTAAAGATTTTGTTAGGAGTAAAGGATTAAATGTTGAGATGCATGTCCCTATATTCCCTTTTGCAAAAAAAAAAAAAAAAATGTACATGTACAATTCAAATTAGATTAGTTGTACACAAGGTTCAAATAATGGAATAAAAAATATGGTATTACATTTAATTTTAAATTTTCTGTTTAAATCAATTTTAAGCATACAAAACATTGAATTGCTAGCTTTTTAATAGCAATCTTGAAGCACGTTTAAACTTACCGAAGTATTTAGTTCTGATACCAAATTTACTGTTGTGGTTTCTATCCAAAGTAGAAGCATTTTAAAAGAATTTACCAGATTTATTATAAATCATTATCTTTGTTTTTTTCTGTGATAACCTTCGGATACCACCTGTCACAGCATGTTTTTTTTCAGCATGTGTTGAAGGATTTTAGCAGATTAAGATTCAAAACCTACAAATGACAGACATCTAAATATATAATGCAGGAAAGGGGCCTTCAATTCCACCGATCACACTCATAGCTATAAAGAAAATTAAGAATCCATAATATATTCTTCTTCTTTTTATATGCTCGATTTGTCTCCCTTATGACATATTCCGTGATAGTAATGTGTACTGATGATCTAAAGTTTTCTCCAAAATTACCGATACACATCTCCGTAAGTTAAAAAGATCCTATCCGAACCGTATTCGATGATGAAAGGTCATTTTAAGTTTATTATAGTACAGCGAGAGTGCCAGCATGAGTCGACTGTAAACTCTTTTTTTTATTTTCCACTTCTAGAGCCAAAACGTTGGCCTTATCACAAAACTTTCTCCTTTCCCACTTAAAGTTAAAATCAAAGTACTGAAGTACTGAGCATCGGATGACCGCAAGTTCTGGTGGATGGTAACAAGCACTTGTCTCAGAAAAAAAACCATATCTCTCTATCTGAAAATTGGGTTAAGGTACATAGATAATATTTTTTTTTTCTGAGACAAGTTCTTGTGTGGATGATGAATAAATGACAGGGAATTCAACCTCACCGTAATAATTATTATTATATTTTAGTGATATATTCATTTGTTATCAGTTTACTCTGGTTTGTTGTTATATATTATATTAACGATACTTGGACACATTATTGTGATTACGGGCCTACCAGTCTTTGATCTTACTCCTTAATACCGATTTCTTAAGCGGATTTATAAGTCTTTGGTTTGACACTGGCGACTTTCCAAACTCGACTCTACCCAATTCGGTGCTACCAAACCTTGATAGGATTTTATAAAATTATCTGTGGAAGTCAAATTCAAAATTGATGTTCATTCTAGCTGTGACACGGTACAGTCAAAACTTTCTTTTCGTATTAATTCATGATGAGGTTAGGCATCATTACCAAGAAACGTTTCTTGCATTGCTCCACGACGCATGTTTTCAAATTATTTAAGTTTTCCTGAGCCGCTAGTGGCCGTTTATGGCGGGTATTCATAATATGATATTTAATATTGCAAGTTGTGTGTAATTTACTTTGAACAGAGATTATCATTGGGATTTAATGATGTTTGCATATTTATATGAAACTACTTTATTGTTGTATTATAGATGACATAAAATTTGATAGATAGTCTGTCTGCACGGCAAAATGCATATTTGAGTCGAGTCTAAATTAGTTGGCCAAAATTATAGTGTACAGTTCGTAGCTAAGACACATTTCTGTTCTTCGTCTCGGTCAACCACATGGTAAAGCATACGTATGGGTTTTGCTCATTGTTGAAGACTGTACGGTGACCTATAGCTGTTAACTTCTATACCATTTGGTCTCTGGTGGAGAGTTGTCTCATTGGCAATTTATACCACATCTTCTTATTTGTATATGTACCTATTTGATTGATTGTAAATGTGCTCGCATCCTGATTATGCATTAAATATATGACCAGAGAGTCATTGTGACCGTGGTAAAATAATATAAACTGCAACTCAGAAAAGGAGTGCAGTTTGGAACAAGTTTGAATGCGTCGTTATTTTGACGGTCTTTGACGACAGGCAGATTATTTAAGGCGAAGACATACTTTCAATCCTTTATTAGTATACCTCTAATGTATTCAGTCTGAATGTTAATATAGCTTACAGAATGTGGCATGTATAGTGACAATCTGCTGCCATGGGACCTTTACTCTTCGACAAACTGATGTTTATATTTGTTCGTTTTTTCTACACGAAGAGCTCGAATGAACATGACCCATCCGTCAAACAAATGTGTCAAGCAAGGCATTATGAGAGGACATTTTTTTTTATGCTCCACCTAGGGGCATTATGTTTTTCGGTCTGTGCGTCCGTTCGTTCGTCCATCCGTCTGTACCGCTTCATGTTAAAGTTTTTGGTCAAGGTAGTTTTTGATAAAGTTGAAGTCCAATCAACTTGAAACCTATAGTACACATGTTCCCTATGATATGATCTTTCTAATTTTAATGCCAAATTAGAGTTTTGACCCCAATTTTACGGTCCACTGAACATAGAAAATGATAGTGCGAGTGGGACATCTTTATACTATGGACTCATTCTTGTTTTATCCTTAATTGTGTATTTGTAAACTATAATTATATGTCTTGTGTTCATTACAATACGTCGTCACATCTGTACTTGTTATAATAATGCAAAATATTTTCGTCGCCACTTCGGAGTTTGCTCTGCAGGTACCTGACTAAGAACATTTTGAGATGTTTCGTTTTAAACAACAAAATGGCATGTTCCTCAACCACCACAATTGAAGAAAGTGTTATAATAAGTAATTAAAACACTAAAAAGATACAGATAGTCGATTTTTATAGTTTTTTTCTTATGTTGTACTGTTACACCACTGTCCCAGGTTAAGGGGAGGGTTTGGCGCGCCAGCAAACATTCTGTGCCCGTTCCAAGTCAACAGCCTATAATACAGTGATTGTCGTTTGTTGCTGTATATCATATTTGTTTTTCGATCATAAATAAGTCCGGTAGTTTTCTCGTTTGAATTGTTTTACATTTTTCATTTCGGGGCTCTTTATAGTTGACTCTGCGGTATGGGTTTTGCTCATTTTTGAAGGCCCATACTGTGACCTATAGTTGGAAACTTCTACTTGGTATCTGGTATGAGAGTTGTCTCATGGGCAATCATACCACATCTTCTTATTTTTGTACCAAATAGAATGTTTTTCCTCAGTCATGTTGGCATAATTAAAGTTGTAGTTGTTATCTTTGTGGTCACATAAAAGGGGGTCATGGATCTCCATGACCTGTTTAAGATGGGCTACCGCCATCGTTAAACTATCTTCCGCCATCGTCAAATGATCCCCGCCAGCGTTAAATTATCTTCCATCACCGTTAAATGATCTCCGCCATTGTCAAAATTTGTTTTCGGTAGGTTATTCTATAATGAAATAAATATGATAAGCAATATATCAGTCTGTTCACCATTCCTTCCATGGAAATAGAGGAATGAAAATACTTTCGATCATAGACGTATGGTTTTGTCATGGTGAAGGTTCCTCCATCGTTAAATTTTCATCCGTGGAGAGGGGTGGTAAAACTCGTTGATTATCTTATTTGGCTTTCAAAATTCAAAACAAATATTGAATTCAAACAAGTCTTATAAAACAATTCCTAACATTAACTTAGTGATGAATAATACGACGTTTAACCCAATGAAAATTGTCCAGAAAAGATTTTCTTTATTAATTTTAGCGGTCAGGGGCTCTCTGCACAAAAAGCCTTACGATAAATATTGATCGTAAGTTATACTGGAATGTTCATAACTTACGAGTATTTTTTTCTCGTGAGCTTTTTTGTGAAAAGAGTCGCAGTACTATTAGTTCAATTTGGTTAAATTTCCAATAACTTTTTGGGCAGGTTAACCTCCAACATGTCGGTAATGGGAAACAACTCCAACTTAAATTACATCAAAACTATTTGTGTCGTTTTTAATTGAAACTGTGCGCATTCTTGAATTTGTCATATTTTCCAAACTTCTAATGGGAACCCGATGAATTATGTATGCTTCACTTCCACGTATTTGAAGCCAAAAGGTGACTGGTGGCTTTTTTGGGTATTAACACTCGGCAAAGATACCAGATATAAATTAAGCTGGGTGTATACTCACAAATAGTTGGGGGATACTAGAAACTTTCAAATTGATGTGTAGGACAGGGGCGGATCTAGGATTTTAGGTTAAAGGGGGGGGGGGGGGCAAACTTAAAAAAAATTTTTGAGGTAAAATTATCGAAATATTCTTTATTAAGCTGAGGACAACCCATGCTTTGCAAATTTTAGGGGGGGGGGGGGCACGCCCGCCACGCCCCCGACTGAATCCGCCCCCTGGTGTAGGAAACACGTCGTGTGTAATGTGAATGCAAATATATGTCTACTTCCCATTTTCTTTGATTCATACAAAAGATCACGTTTCAATAAAAATTGAAATATTAACACAGGCAGATATGAAGTAACCCATGATTTAGGCGACCTGATGTCTAATTGTAGACAAAAGAGCTAATAATGGCAAATGTTGTACATGTATTTTTTTATTTTTATTAATTTATTCTAGATACAAGTGTTATGATACATATAGCTACTACAATACTGATAATGTTTAAAATGAAATAAATCTATATCAAAATATACTACAAATATTTACCATTATTTTATAATGATAAATCTAAGGCAAATGTACTACATAAATTATTATTGGTTTGAGTATTTTATTGCAACTGGTGTATGATTAATTAAACAGGATATGCATGCGCAAAGATGCATATAATTTTCATAGTTCACCCAATTTACTTATTTCTAGTTGTCAAGTTATTTTGCAATTTCTGTATATTATCAACTGCATGTAGAAAATAAATTTTTGTGAAGATAACTTTTTTTCAGCTCAATACTTGACTTTGTTTTAAATGATAACCTTTCTTCTGTTTAAGTAGTTATAAAATTAAATTAAATCTAAAATTCTACAAAACTAATCACGTGAAATAATTATATTGCACGGAAAGGTTATGTTGATGGAATTTCACACGTTTACAATTAGTTTGTCTCTGGTCTTTTCATTCAATTTACTGGCCATCTGTTTGGTTATTTGCCTTTTCGTTTTCCTCTTGTTCTTGCTCGGCTTCTTCTTTCTTATCTTCAATTTCGATAATCTCGGCGTCTTCCGGTGCGGTTACTAGAGGTTTTTCTGGTGAAGATGGCGGTGCTTTACTTCTGGTAAGACACTTCCTCGTTCTTGTAAATGTAGCCCCCGCAGAGAAAAAATATTCATATAAGATGGCGGCCACAGATCCTCCAACAAGCGGGCCTATCCAAAATACCTGTAAAGTTTATGACATGTATTAACATTTTAGAGTAACCTTTCTTTTTCTGGTTTTATATGTGTTGGTGGGTTGGACTGTTGTTTGACGGACGTATTACAAACATCTACTTTATTTCATATTGTGTAATTACACCGTAAAGTAGTTCAATACCTGAAGTACAAAAGTATCTAGTGGAGGAAAAATTCCAAGTATGCGGACCTGACATTTTTTAAATATTCAGGGTCAGCAAATTTAATATAAGACAATAATCCTGTTGCGCCTCTAATTCATGGAAAGTTAATGCCTAATGCTTTAAGTAAAGACTTGATCACATTTTGTATGTGTTGGTCCCAAGTCAGGAGCCTGTAATTCATGGATTTTCGTTGTGCTCTGTCTATCATATTTGTTTTTTGTTTGTTTATTGCAATGAACATAAATCAGACCATTGGTTTATTCGTTTGTATCATTTTACATTTGTCATGTCGGGGTCTGCTGTATGGTTTTTCATCATTGTTGTAGGCCTTGCGGTGACTTACAATCATTGAAACCCAACAATAAATGAACTGTTTCTTCCAGAGGACAACCGAATTATTTTCAAATCTTAATGTTTGAGAAGCAGAGCTGGAACAACACAACCTCACAAACTCATAGATTATCCCCCGAATTTCAGATAGAGTCAAACTGACAGATTAGACAAACGGTAGGATATAATTCATTTTTTCTATTTACTACGCACGATTAAGAATGACCTGGTTTTCATCAAAAGTTCTTTTGTGAAGTCTGCAAGCTATCAGTTTAAGTTAATGGGGTTACACAAATGCTTTTTGTTACTTTTTCAAGTGTGTTTATTTCCAATCAGAATGCATTAAAAGTCAAGTGGTGTACACGGCATCAGGTTCAAGTACCAATTTTCAAATGCACTGGTGTATTTTGAATGTGGTTAAACATAGATTAACTAGTGGTATACATGTTAAGTAATTGTATATACATTTGACTCCTAGGTTGATACGACATTCCTACTTGTAATCACAAGTATCTTCAATTCCTCCTACGTCTTATTATAGTCTTCCGAAACCGCCCCCAGTTATTATAGTTCTTAATCGAAAGAAGGTGACCAAATTTTTCGAAACGTATTTTATGAACAGCAATATATACATACACAGTTTATTTATTCCAGACGTATATTTATGAGGTCAAGCTACATTTATATATACAATAATATACACAGGAAGTTATAAAGAAACTAAAAAGGTTAAAAGGTCATTGTTCCGAAAGTTAATAATGACATGAAGATAAGCAGACAAATAAGTTATAATTCATCTGTTAAGGATTTTCCTCTTAATAATATGATACATAAAACTGCCTACCTTGAAGATTTCATTCCCCCTTTTTTTTATGAAAACGAATATATTGAAGATAAAACATTGAGAAACGTAACAAATAATTCCAATCTAACTATTAGCTACCCTATTTTTCTTAAGAAATTTCGAAATCTTAAAAACATGGGTTAAATACAAGTTGAACTTTGATTACTTTACAATTCGTACAGCAATTAGGTTGTTGATAAATGCGAAAATATATACCTATGTACATCCATGGCAAAAAACGTATGCATACCCATGGCAAAAATAATAATACGGAGGAAAGTTTAACAATCAGTTGAAATGAATTCTAAGACTATCTCATGTCACATCAACGTTCAGTCTTGTTATAGCGATCAATCTAAAGTACCTATCATGGTCTATGACACCAAGATGTCTATTATCTTGTATAACAATACGATTTTCGTGTAAACATCTAAATCATTGTACGGTCGTATGACCACTTTATTGAGGTTCCTTTAGATTTTTCAACATGTTTAAGTTCATTGTGTTTTATACAACACTGACAGATGTGTTATATTGAAATTTGAGTCGCTTACCCAATGATTATCCCAAGAGTTCTTGACGACAGCTGGTCCGAAACTTCTTGCTGGGTTCAAACTACATCCGGTGTAGGACACCTGCAATCATACATTTGTATTAAAGTGTAATTTTACATTGAGATATTTTATGTTACAAATCATTAGTTATTTCATAAACCATTTGTAAATATGCTATAAGAAACTTTTAAAGAGAAAATACTCTAAAGTTTGACTTTTGGCTTTTAACACCTAGGATTGCACAGAAATATTTGTTCTGTAATCATTGGATATTTAGTGTGGGTTCATACATAAACTAATATTGTCAAAACTATGTGTGAAATGGTCATTTTAGTTTAAACACGTAAAATCTTCATTATTCTATAAAATGTCTTCAAACACAATCATACGTATGAATATGACGTTACTGAAATGACTATTTTTTTAACGTAAAATACAATATTTGGGTATACGGGACGACCATTTGATATCCTGGGTAGGGGCAGATTTTATATTTTCATCTGTTGCTACGCATGCTCGCGCGAAAATTTATTTGCTCTTTTGTACAAGATCGATTCCTGCATTTTGTTTTGCAGAATATTCATTTTCATCTCTTACCAGGCCAGATATTCATTTTCAAAATCCTCCTGCCCCTCCCCCCAGAAAATCAGATACTCGTCCCATTATCTAAGATAATTTACATTCATTTAGTGACTCAAAAGCCTGTTTGTCGGGTTTGCCATTTCAACATAATATATGCAGATATCTATTAAGCCCAAAACCATACGAAAAAGTTTTTATCTGATTTGAAAAATACAGCATACACCATTTTGTAAGATCATGTGCACGTCTAAAAACTTAATTCTTATGATTCTTCATTTTACAGAAAAAACATTGGTGTAATTTAGAGTATTATCAAGGGGTGTTTAAGAGAGTTTGACCGCCCACGAGGGTCTCGCACGGTCGATATCCAAGGGTCAAAATCCAAACTAGAAAAAGTTTCAGAATGTGATCCAGATTTCGACCCCTGCAGTTCCTACCCCTTTCATATTGTACGTCGCCGAATGTGTTTTAACACCAAACACCTTTCATGGTATTGGGTCGTTAGGTCGCTCTCCCATTGAAGAAAACTAATGCTCTCTTCCTATTCTAATATATCGGTGTACAATGGAAGGCAAAAATCCACCAATTAAACAAAATTTTGATTTTTTTTATATATTAGTATAGGAACGGTTATATTTATAAATTTTATATATAATTATTTTATTGTACTAAAACCAAGGTCCTTATCTTTCCAACAAAATTGATCTAATATCAATAAGGTTGTTCTTTTTTTTTTCATTATGGTGCTTTCAAATTTTCTAAATACTATGTATCTGGGTCGTGCGTAAGCTGGTCCTCAACTGAATACTACAGTCGATGACCAGCTTAGGTCGAGCGTACCCGATGAATTTTAGCCCAGAAACACGTGCTATATATATTGCATTATTTTTGTTATTATCCCGAGTTTTGCGAGATAACACTAGACGCCAAAGTTATAAATTGGTATATTAAAAAAAGTTATGCAAACATCAAAAGATATTAAAAATAAATTAGATAGAGAGATCAGAGGAGATGGGTTTCGTAATCGTTGACTATTTAATAACCGGTATCATTCCCTCCAAATTAAATCGTATTAAACTTAAAAGTAAACCAAAACAGAAACACTTCTTTGTTCACCCTATGAGTTCTTACAAGATAATTTTCTTGAATCTCTCTGTAATCTGTGATCGTAATTCTGCCAATCAAGGCACACCTCCATTCACATAGAGGAAAAAGTCAATACACGATAATTTACAATACAACGCGCATCACTTTATATATTAAAATATAAAAAATTTCCGCCACCTTATAAATTATTATATTACACAGCACAAATAAAACAATAAATTCTTTTGATAGAAATAAATTAAAATGTTTTTTCAATGTGAAATCAACTCATTCTTGGACCATGTGTGCCCTTTATGTCATTGCAAGGCCAAGCTACCTATACTACGCTAGTTAGCATTTAAAAGTTAGATTTTCTGCTGCCTAGGTTATCTAATGACTTGTAATCGAAAAGATTGAACGCAGATCAAAGATAATCAAGAGGAACGGCGTTATGTTATGATTTGCGAAGTAACCTGCCAACACCATGGGAGTTATAAGCTTGACAAGAAGGCATGTAAACGAAGAAAGATGATTTCAATGAAATACATTATAAATCATTACTCTGTTACATGACTTTTTGTTTTTATTTCAGATTAATTCCTCAGTCCTCAAATTTATCGACTTATTTGGCATCGCATTAATAAATTCACAATATTATTCAGACCGAAAGGCTTATTTAATTAATTTGTTTGTAATTTTTGCATATGTTAAAGAATATATATATAAGTCAATAAATTGTCAAAATATGAGTGAAAATAAAAGGACGCGGTTTGTATAAAATGAAACAAATGGGGAATGTGTCCATGGGACACAGATAATGCCTTCGCTCGAATATAACATTATAAAGGGACATAACTCAAGAACGGTAAAAGTGACACTACCCAAAATTCGTACTTGATCTGAGTTTTGTGGTGATAAGCATTGTGTATCAATTCCAAAACATTTGATCGAGGCAAACTTAAGTTAGAGAACGGAAACGAAAAATTCAGCAATTTTCCATTTGTAAAGGGGCATAACTCTAGAACGGTAAAAGTGACACCACCAAAATTCAAACTAGATCTGTGTTTTGTGATAATAAGCATTGTGTATAAGATTCATAACATTTCGTTGAGGCAAACTAAAGCTAGAGAACGAAAACCAATTTGGGACGTACGGACGTAAGTACAGACGGAAGAGGGTAAAACTTAGGGGCATAAAAAACGTTGAAAAGACTTATAGTATACAGAAACAAAGCAAACTTTACTTACTGCAAATAGATGTCCTAGGGCAACTGCAAGTCCAATTGTTAAGGGAGCTGAACCATGTAAATCTGTGCGTTTTTCGTCAAGAGAAGCCAAAACTGTTAACACAACAACAAATGTTATCATTAATTCGACTCCAAATCCTTGAGCATCCGTGACACCTCCTCTCAAGCTGTTAACTCCAATAGTTTTCTGTTGACTTTCCGGTGTTAAACCGATTAAAATTGCTGCTCCAATTATTGCACCTACAATTTGGGCAACAATGTAAAAGAAGGCACGAACTACACTCACTCTACGGGTAATAAGAGCTGCCACTGTTACTGCAGGGTTAATATGTCCACCGCTTATGTGAGCAATGCACCATACCATTGTTCCTACAACAAGTCCAAATGTTAGCGAAATTTGAACAACACTCGGTTCTGTGGTTGTTACTACAGACCCATTTCCAACGGCAGCTGGTTGACCATTCTGCAATGTATGAGCACCACATCCCAAAAAGACCAGGAATATAGTCCCGACCATTTCGGCGGCTACAGCACGCCATAGATTTGGGCTGGTAAGATCCTCCAAATTTTCCTTCATGATTTTCAACATGTTCCGACCAACACGCGCTCTATAATAAAGGACGCTATCTGGGGAAATGCTTTAAAAATTTTGAACTGGTGGCTTAAACTAATAAAGATAAAAATGTGTTGTTGCGCATGTCCTAATTCAAAAATTGCAAACGCCCTTCAAGATGATTATGTTAATGGCATAAAATGACGCTGGGGGAGGGACAGTTTACAAATACGGAACATCATCAGTAACGCGTGTGTCAAGGTTACTACGACTACTTGTTTTCACCGACTTTATTAACTGAATTCTGTTCTTGTAAAAAATATTTTCTCAAAAGGCGTATGAAGAAAATAATTAACATCCGAATGTCCTTATTGATGGTCAAAATCAAACAAATTCGGAACCAATTATTATAAATGGCAGCCTTTGATTGTGGCCAATTTATTTTGACATTCATTGTTAATTTGGTATGGCAATAAAAGTACTACTTGAATATCAAGTCGTTAGAGATGATGAATAAATTATGGGATAATGATAACAATTTCATACTAAATACTTCATAATGTGAATTGAATTGTACTTAAACAAACGTTTGCTTGTTATATTGATATAAATAACGTTGATTCAGGAACATATATCTATTTCTGTGACTAATCTGATAAGATATAATGCACAAGTCAGGAATCTGATTTTATTTTAAGAAATAAGAAAAATAATACGGTCTATGCATCATTTAAAAAAATACAACGCCTATTCTCCTCTCTTCACAATAAACGTCTTTATATCGCTTTTCCCCGAATATACTCGTGTTAAAGTTCGTGATAAAAATACAATTTAATCATCACCTCACAAATCCCAAAAGATACAATACAGATACAACACGGCTTCTGTTGCTAACAGATATGAAATTTATCATTAAACCTATTTCTCAACCAAAATAACTAGTTACAAGCATTTACTATTTGTTTATCCACGTGCATAAAAACTTTGAAAGGCTAATATTCTTTCCAAACTGACACAAAGAAAAAATCGTTGACTCATGACGCCACCTGTCGGCTTGATGAGGTCAATAGCTCGTAATGATGGTTTTAAGAGGTAAGAACACAGCGGGGTTTTCTGCACGGTCGTAACACTAATAATTATCTTCAATTGAAATATTGTTACAAGCCTAGCGACGGTACTTTTATAATGTAAACATGCTTAGCGTACGTACGCGTCTGCTATAACTTTTAACCTTTGTAAGGATGTTTGTTTACATTTTTGTCTCAGATTTTTCCAAAAAAAACCCTCCATCTGGTCAGTCTTCAATAAAGAATGAAGGGTCATACAGGCGCCATTATAATACAACATTAGGTTTTAATATTAAGATTATCCCATGATAATCTATAAATACAGTCTGTGAATCAGCGTTGCATTTGGATTCTTTTAAAAAAAAGTATCAATGAAATTGATGACAGGTCATCATCGGTCACCATTAAATGGTCACCATTTTTAGTATTATTATTATTGGTTTTTGTACGTCTGTATCATTTATAACATCCTTTTTTATTTCATAATTTACGCAATTAAATTTAAAATACGTTTACAAGACTAGTGAATAAAATTGAGAATGGAAATGGGGAATGTGTCAAAGAGACAACAACCCGACCACAGAACAGACAACAGCAGAAGGCCACCAACAGGTCTTCAATGCAGCGAGAAATTCACGCACCCGGAGGCGTCCTTCAGCTGGCCCCTAAACAAATATATATACTAGTTCAGTGATAATGAACGCCATACTAAACTCCAAATTGTACACAAGAAACTAAAATTAAAAATAATACAAGACTAACAAAGGCTAGAGGCTTGCATTTGTTTTAAATGTTTGCATTTGAATAAAAATAGTAATATCTTTTCTTCTGAGCACTAATTTGTACGGCATGTGTACAGAAGAAGAAGAAGATGTTTTATTTCCATTAAATGGGCTCACAAGGAGCATAATACAATATAAGACATTAATAAGACAATAACAAAAAGAAACAACAATAGTCTAGTATACATACAAAGAAAAGAAAAAGCAGTTTGAACATCATGAACTACACACATAATATAAATATATATAAATATACAAGATGTACATTGTACGTGAATAACAATATATTTCACTGTATCACCCTTTTCTAGTTAAGATAACATCTGGATACACCCATCAGTAAATGTTATCAGTTTCAATTTTACTTCTCACAATTTGTATCATAATTATCCCCGAAAATAGTTTGTAAAATTCCACTATGATTACTGTTTGAAATAAATAACGTTTAACTCTATCGCGGTCTTTTAATACATTTCCAAAAGCGTTCGTTTTTGTACAAATTAGATAGTTTTTAGCTAGACAAACTGTTCTTGTCAAATATAAGATATAATATTTTCTACACATTTCATTTTTTAATTTGCAATGAGTTAATTAAAAGAGTGTCATTTTTTTCCAATGTAAATTTGAACAGTGATACTTTTACTCCTTATAAATGATTTCAATTTAAAAAGGATATTTTGCAAACTTAACTGTATTTTTTCATTTTTCAAGTGAAATTATAAAAAGGATTGTCACTAATAGGGGAACAATCCAGTTTGCTGCGCATACAATAAAGCATTTTTTTTTTTTTAGATCATTAGGTCACAAAATATTTGTATTTTACCACAAATATAAGTTAATAGGTTAATTTGGATAATAATAAATGTTAATTGTTTGTTTATATAGTGTGGCGTGACATGTAAACATTCCAGCTCGGGTAGTTTGGCAGCTTGATATGTATGTGATATGTGGCGGCTAATCTCATTTTTTTTATGATGAATGTCCATCAGATAACACCTTATGGTCAGTATATTTTAACACTATTTTGATCTCCGGCCTTCTAATTTCATGCAGGTGATTCTAAACAGATAAACAGCTGCTTTTACATTATCGATCTGAAATCAATATTTAACGCTCACCTGTTCTTTGCAAAAAGAAGATAAAGCAATTTAATTCCTTTTCCATGCTTTATATGTTTTAAATTTGTTTTGACAGACATGAAATTGCTTATGATAAGGAACACAAATCATATGTTATCGAATTTCAGTGGAAACTGTGAAACTATAGTAGAAAAAGGGAATTGAATTTAGGACAGATTAAGCAGGAGAAAAAAAAGAAAATATGCGTGGTATACATAATAAACCCGAAGAAAAGAGAAAAGACCGAGCGAATGAAAAGAAATAAGACGAGGTAACCATATGTCATGTGGTTACACATATTCACGACGAAAACAAATTTAATTATGATTCAGGAAATGAAAAAAAAAACCGTAATACTATGTGAAGTTTAGAACTGTTACAAATGTATAGATTAAACTAACAGGGCAACTGATTTAATTGATAAAAAAAAACTTAAAACCCAACTTTGTTCCTGAACATTGAAAACCGGAAAAAATTTAAAAAACTAGAAGAATCTAGCCGCCAAACACGGATAATGGTGAACTTTCTGAATTTGGAGATTGAGTCTTGCTTTAACAGAAAATTACGAATTATATACAACTGACAATCTCTTTCACAAAAATGTTTATCAAATTGAATGCAGAAGGAATTGTTACTACACGTATCTCTTTAGGGGATATTACGTTCGGGATAGAAATCAAAGATATTGAATGTATTGAGGATGTACTTCACCACGATACGTCAATAATTAAGATAGAAAAAATCAACCAACATTGAGTAAAAAAAAAGAGTTTAAAACAGTCACTGTAAACTTTGAAGAAGAAAGTGCAATCTTAACTTTGTGTTTTGAAAAGTGTACCAAATACATTATTATCATTGCTAAAGAACTGGCTACAAGGGGGTGAGGGGGCGTGAGAGGGTTTTTTTTTTTTTTTTTTTTGGGGGGGGGGGGGGGGGTTCGTAAAGTATCAACCAAATTTGACTTTTGTAGCTTGCATAAGAAAATGTCTTGCTTTTGGATAATGTTGACTCATTTTGTAAAAAGTCTCTAGACCAAATTGTACTAACTAGTTTACATGGGCGCAGTCATCATGTGACATAAAGATAAAAAAATATCTGCAATCTGTGATTGATTGCTTTGTCATTTATTCTTATTTCCATAAAATTCAAAACTTCTTGAAATTGTACTTGTCCACATTTAAAAAAATAATAATTGACAGATGTTATTTGTGTTTCGTTTAGATCCGGTTATCTACTTTTAACAGAATTATGACAGATGTACGTGTACATATGTTTACGTGCCGATCCGACTGTCTTGTTATTTTTGGATTGGTGGAATCATGAAGTAAACTCGCACAAACTCATAGTAGTTTTAGATTACTGCATGTATGAAGCCTCTTTAAGATTTTTTATATTTGTCATAAAAGCGGATGCACATATAAAAAATTTAGTATACAGAGCTGTCTACCTAAACGAAAATAAAAAAAAAATATTAATAGATATCGTACTTCCACGAAACAGCAACAGCTTTTCCGTAGATGTTTAATTTATTTAAAAAAAGCAATTTGATTTGTTTATATTAAATAGCATTGTTGGCATGGCAAAGGGGGGAAATTTTGTGCTTCTGATTCAATATCACACCAGGGACACTACCACAAACGACATTGGACATATTAACTATAATGCATTTTTTTTTCATGTCTTCCTGAAGTGTAATGTTAAAAAAAAAAATTGAAAAGAAAATAATAGGCGGGACTTGTAACATGATTAGTTTCAGGTCTTTTTCACCGTTTTTGACCGTTTGGGAATATTTAATACCAATTACAATTCAATTAGCAGCACTACCATGAAAGAACGAAAACAGAAGAAAAGTCTATAGCGGTCAATATACGTGCTCTCCTAGAATATACAAGAGTCTAATAAGTATACCACATACCAAGTTTGAAGACATGTTGATTGAGAATAAATTTAACAGGGAGTATATATATGTACCAATCCTATCAACATCCTCTTCCTGAAAGGACAAACAGATGCAAAGACAATCAGGCTTACGAGGTTCCTGATTTAGGGACACTAATATATGTAGGGGATGTGTACGTATTTTTTAGAACTCTATTATACCTGGAATAATAATATAAGGTACATGTAATTTGTTTTGTAAACTACTAATTTAATACAGTA